AGATGTACATAGACCACAAGCAAGAATGATTTGGAAATAAATTTTGAGAGAAATATGATATAATGAATAAGAAGCCCATGTTTGAAAGGGGGCCTGTTTAAGAGCATTTAGAACAATATTAATTAAGATTCCAGTAAGGCAAAGGAAAAAGACAATGAATGATGAAGAGCCAGAACAATGTTGAAAAAAAGGGGGAAGAAAGACAGAACTGCAGCAAAAAAGTTAAAAGACAGATGACAAGGTCACCCAACAGTCTTCTATAGTAGAAACCACTAATCTTTGATGGAACAATTTGGAAAAGAAAGCTGAAAGGTTGGCAACAAGAGGACAGTTTGGTATGGGAGTCGTGAATGACCAGCAGCAAAGAAACATGCTACTGTTATTGATAGACAAAGAGAACAGAAGGGTGACACAAATGTAATAAAAGAAGGGCTACATGGTTTGAGAAACCTTACTGATGAGAAAGGGTAAATGTGAGAACAGATGCATGATATTCACAAGTGAAAGAGAGATGCATGAGGTTGTAGCTAAGGGTGTGCATACAGAAAGAGAAAAGACCAGCCCTAAATGATGGCATCCAGCTAGATGATGTACTGGTGGCAAGAACAGGGGAAGTTTGGAAATGAGAAGTGATGAAGGTATCAATTACTGACATGTCCAACTAGGAACAAATCTAACAAAAGACCTGAAGATGGAATGATAGCTCCATAGGAAGAATTCTGTCTGGTTGATAGGCAGTCAGATAAATCCAATGTGAAAGGGCTTAAAACAGAAAGTCCAATGTACAGAAGCAAAGGTCCCTGGAATGAGCACAACCTGACAAGTGATATAGGAAATAACTGTAGAATTGACAGAATGGATCTTAACCAAGTGATTCCATAAGTCGAGGTAAGAAATAGGAACATGACCAATGGGTAGCTAAGAGTTCTAGAACAATGATGTGGAAAGTACAATCCACATAAGACCGTCTCCCCTGATGTCATGGAGCCATCCAAGGAGCAGCCTCAACTCCTAACACATGCATCAGTCAAGAGATGTAAATTCTGATGTGAGTACAGCAGTGGAATGCAGACCAAGAGTTGGCACAGTCCAGCCACTAAGACAGATCCTAGAGAAGAGAAGGCAGCAGCAACACAAGAGAGGACAGAGTCATGGGAGGTATTATAAAGGATGCTCAAAGTTCACTCAAGAATCCTCATATGAGCTTGGCTTAAGGGGACAAGATCTTTGAGAGATGTGAGAGTCTCCAAGAGATAGTACCTCACATTCAAGAAGTATAGGAGAGTCAAAAGTTGAGGTGACTAGATGATTTATATCTTGCAAACAAATAGGGAATACTGAGCCCAGCTGAGTCAAGAATTGAAAAAGACACCAAGTGTGGAGTAAAAGTGAGGAACAACTTGGAAGATTTAACCAGCAAACCCAAACAAGCAGCTTCTTGGAGTACAAGTGTTATAGATAAGAAAGAGGCCTTCCAAGAAGAGGTGAGGAGGAACCAGTCATCCATGTAATAATGGAAATGAAGTCTGAGACAGTAGATGTGGCAAGCAAACACTCCCTTGACTGTGTAGAAGAAATAAGGAGCCGAAGTCACGTCTAAGAGGGAGAACTTGAAACTGGTATACATGGTTCTGGTGAAGAAATTAAAGTAAAATGCCAGGAGGACAGCAGAGCAACTGGGATATGTAGAAAGGCAACTGAAACATCACCCTTAGTCCTCCAAAGTCCAAAATAAAAGGAAGAGTGGAGAAGAGGAAACCTCTTAAACTGAGGTACCATTAGATAATGGTAGAGAGAAGAAAAGTCGATAACAGAACTCCATTCCCTAGTCTTTTGGTGGACAACAAGAAGATGAGAATAAAACCCTGAAGAGAGGCAAAGGGCTCCTCTTGATGGTTCTCTTGACCAAAAGATCCAATATCCTGATCTCAAGACACAGAAGACACTGAGGATTGGAATGTGAAGGAAAAGAAATGGGAAAACGAGGCAGAGGAGAAAGAAACAAGAAGTAAAGAGAAAAGCCATATATGAGAACTTAAACGATCTACCAGTTAGCTGTAAGTGGGGGTTCAAAGGTTTGCAAACAGAGAAAGACATATGCCTATTAGACCTGAGCCAACTGGATACAAAGGGAGGTAGTCACGTCACCAATGTAATGTGTAATGGCAACTGGACAGGAGGGTGGAAAATTACTGTCACATGATGATTACATCATCCACTAGTGCAGTTCATATTAAAAGACATGTCTTAAGTGGGAGATAGTTATTGTATGCAGAGAGGAAAGAATAACTTTTCAGAAAGTGAGTATATTATATTTTAAATATACTGGAAAACATGCTTTAGAATTATAAAAAGGGTTAAAACAGCTTGGAATTATAAGATTTTTCTTCAAATTCATGTTAAAATTGTCTTTAAATAGATATCTTACTTAAATAATTACTTTGAATTTAAAAATACAGTGTTCCTAAAATGCAGTGATCTTATATCATCTATAAATTTAGGTCCAAGATGTAACCATGGTTATGAGTTCTCAACAACTCATTGTTTGACTTCAAGGATTAAAGAGCATGTGCATGTAAACAGTCAGTTATTCTTCAACATGACTTACAAGACTGACTCTCTTTCTACTACCCAAGATTTAGCAATCTTAGAAGATCATAAAATGAAAAAAAGCTAAGGACCTGTAGCAATATTGTAGATGAGTATAAAGCTCTGTAAATCCAAACTCTTGAGCCAAAACACACAAACTGCTCAAATGTGATAAACTTCTGTACATAAAACAACAAAAGATATTATGAAAATCCATAAATCAGATCCAATTTGTTTCTTAAGATTAGTTGATAGACAAGACATCTGGTTAAATAGATTCAGATAAAGACAAATGGTCTTGGTTTTCTTTTTAAACAAGGCATTTTAATTGCATATAACAAACAGATTCTAGCTTATTATTTCTAGAATGAAGTAAATGATTTACATTTTTCACAAAGTTAATGCAGGAAAAAAAGTTTTCATGTGCACTTCTGAAAGCCTTTTTTCTTATATCTAGAAAATTTCTTTTAGGGTGAGTTCCGCTTCACTTTAAAAATAAATATGTACACATACATACCTAAAAACTATAAAAATATAAAGCAAATTCCACATAATATAAAAGAAAAACAGTATGATTTTCAAATATTTTCAAATTTTTGAAGAAGAAATATTGTGATTTCTCATTAAAATAGAAAAAAAGATTGTAATACAAAAGTTAAATGTAGCATTACACATCAAGTCCAGGTTGCTACATCTTCAATCTTATCAACATTAAATTCTAGTATATTTTTGTATCTTCATCCACTTTCAATAAATGGCTTGCTTACTCGCTTTCAATTAATCAACCTTGGATTCCGGTACCAATGTTACTCTAC